CCAGCACTCTGTCTGAAACTAATCTAATTAATTTGCTTCTTCCAATGCCCAGAAGGCTGTGTTGCACATAGATCTGGCATTCAACTTGAGCTTCAGTTCAGTCACTGGCCCTTGATTTGTAATTATGAAATTGGAAGCAGAATTGAATGCACACTTCCAGTGCCTGGTCCTTATTATGTCCTTGTAACAACTCATCTCCCATCTTCCCCTCATACATCCTTAAGAACAGTTTCACAATAACTATACTCTTTATAGTTCCATGGTGTAATTTTATTACCCTATTTATGTCAGCCTGTTTCCTGAAGAATCTAAATAAAAGAAATAGTTTAATTCAAGTTGGCTTTATTTTTGCTAGCTCTTTGTGAAAGCCTATAAGTTAGAGAAGACTAAAAGACAGATAAATACTTTTTGACATAGACCATGTAAGATCTGACAAAACAGGATAGTTGAGTCATATTTTAAGCATTTTCACTGGTATATTCTGTACATTCCATCACCAGTACTAAATTTCATTATTTAGGTTATTGAGGTGACAGCTTCTGTGATACTTAAAATGAAAAAGACAGGCACAGAAATGTTGTGTCAAGCAGAGAGTTGTACCATATTATAAATCCTTCTGCTAGCAGACAAGAAGATGAATATCAAGGGTAGTGTGATCTGCTCAAGAAGAGTCTTGCCTACAGATGTGTCATAACATAACATCACTCTTGACTGTTGGATTAATTCATGAGCCGTTCAAGTCAGTGATGCTACCATTCAAGACACAGCAATTTAAGTAACAATCTTTTAAAACTGAATTGGAAAAAATCCTAGCAATATATTGCTATGTTTTATAGCATACCTATACATTTATATTTTGTTCAATATTCTGAACAACAGAAAGCAAAAGTCTCATTCTCATTTTCCTTAAGACACTTAAACCATAGCTGTATTTCTGCTCTTAAGATTGAGAAACTCTTACAGCATTAATTCAAAACTATTACCATCATGTCCTCAATAGTAATTAAAATAAGGATATATTTTATGGAATTGTTTAAGACATAGCAGGAAAAAAGAAAGAAAGACACTATTTATTCTAAGTATCAGCTGATTAGTATCAACAGTTGTCATTCTTCTGCAACCCCACAATTTCTTAAAGCTTATTATTTGTTTTATCTGACGAGTGTTGCCTCCTATAGATACTGAATAAAGAATCTTTTTGAGTTGTGGCAGTTCAGCCGAAAGCACTGTCAAAGGGTAACAAAAGAAGCATGTCTTCATGTTAGAGGCACTCAAACCATCTGTCTATAATACATGTGAATACTTAATTATCTTGAAAATATAGTCAATGCATAATACTTAATGGACATAATTATGAGATATGTGAGAGACAAGAATGCACCTTGCAGAATAATGCTGCTGCAATGCCAAAACAGGAAGATTTTGGGCCCATCTTCATGTACCCTCATTTCAACATAAAGATACCTCAATAACAGATTTAACACAATGCAGCATATACTTTATCTCCAGCACATAGCAAGGCCAGCTCATTTCATTTTTTTCTAATTTGATGTAGAAATAGTATATCCTTTCTTTCCCAAGAAAGAGCTTGTCCAATGCTAGAACTGCTATATTTGATTGGTTTGGGCAGATCCACTCTCCTCTAGCTCTTGATGTTTTCATACATTGGCCATTTTCATCTGGATAGCAGGAATAAACAGACTCCGATTTTTGTCTATATACAGTAATAACTAATGGGAAGAAAGAACTAGCTATTCTTAAATGAAATAATAGTTGAGGAATTGAGGTGATGCATATTTATGCCAAAGTAAGACTTTTTCATTTGTAATTACAAAACCTATTTAGAATTGCATCCTCAGAAAAAGCAGCAACATTTTCCTTTTAATACAATGGCTAGAGTTTCTTCTTCCTTCTTCGCTGCCTTGGGGAGAGCTCCGTCGCTGGGCAGGAGGGCCTTCCTGTCAGCTGCACTGGGCGCCCCAGGCGAAGCTCTTCACGCTCTGCCCGGTGCCAGGCAGGGATGGCAGCTGGGCGCTTCTCCTGGGGTGGGCCGATCCTGCGCTGCGGCCCTGGGAGATTCACCTCCCCACGTGTGGTTGGGCTGCCCTCTCGGGCAGGGGAGGGTTTGTCATACCGGTAGTAAGGTGTCATTTTTAAAAGAATTGGCTTTGCCTTTGAAGGCGAAGGGAAGGTGGTGACAGGAGCGCCTGAAGCCGAGTGTCTCCGCCGGGCTCCAGTTGCAGGGAGGAGCCCTGCTGGCTGCGCGTGGCTGCACCAAACGCTGCAGCGTTGCTCTAAATGCCATGGCAGCAAGGGAGAAGGGAAAGCAATGGTGGAGGAAGGTCTCCTGATACGAAGTGCCCCACCAACGCCAAAGTCAACGCAGGCAGCACCATATCCGGGTATGCAACAAAAGTACTTCCTAATGGCAAGCCCTCCCGCCATTCTCCCCCATTTTGCATGTTTAATATAGGCCTTAATTTGGGGGGGGGGAGGCTTAATTTGATTTTATGCCGATAGAACATGCTGGGCCTTCCTATTGGTGGAGGCCGTATTGTTGGAGAAACACGGTAGGTATCATGATAGAGTTTATTAACTGGTAGACAAAACAGGATTTATAGAACATACCACGAGCCATGGTGATGCAGTAGTTAGAATGCAGTACTGCAGGCTACTTCTGCTGATTGCTGATTGCCAGAAGTTCGGCAATTTGAATGTCACTGGCTCAAGGTTGACTCAGCCTTCCATCCTTCTGAGATTGATAAAAGGAGGACCTAGATTGTTGGGGGAAATAGACTGACTCCATAAACTGCTTAGAGAGGGGTGTAAAGCACTGTGAAGTGGTATATGAGTCTAAGTGCTATTGCTATTGCTACTTAGGAAAGAAGTTTAGTATAAGTACAATATAAAACATTATCTTGTCAAGGCATTACTATTATTAATATGGTATCAGGCTGCCATATTGGTTGTTTGCTGTGGACAATATTTTTCTCATATGGCATTTTTATTCCAGAAGAGGATCATGGTATTGTAATTTTCAATATGCATTTTTCATTGTACTATAAAAATATAGTATTTGTAAAGGTATTAAATTTAAATGTTGCTACCTCCATTTAGATGGATGGTGACCTATCCATGAAATTAAATAGTCCACAGCATTATAGAATTATATAATGCTAAAATATTCATGGTAAAAGACAGCTATAAAATATCCATAACATTTAAGATCTTTCTAATCAAGCAATCATAACTATAAGACATTAGCTATAATAATCATGTAATAAAAATCACAGTTCACCATTAATGGATACCAGCAACATTACATTCAGCCATCAAAGGCCCTCTAGAATAATTAGGCCATTAACCTTTTCTGGAAGGAAGCCATATTGGAGATAAATCTGACTTTCAAGCCAGAAGCAGAATGTTCACTCCATTGAGAAAATAAAGGAGACTTGGTCAGTACCTGTAGTATACACTTTTAATGAACTTCTTAGAGAGTTAACAGATTTTACTGTAAGACTAAAATGACCAAGTGTTTACATTTTAAAAACATCTGTCACAGACTATTATTACAGCCTATAATATTAACTTTCTGAAATCTCAGCTTACTAGATATTCACATTCATTTTATGTTTTGTATTTCTTCTACTTTTCTTCTACTTTTTAATAGTGTATAACATAGCTGATAACAGCCTATAATCAACCTGCACATTACTTACCAAAATTAGAAAGTTACCCCACTTAATAAGAATAAATCACAGTGTGAGCAAATAGGACCAAGGACTGTTTGAGCAAAGAAGGTAGAATTTCACTAATTAGAATAGCACTGAAATAACATTAATCACAAGTACTTCTCAATAAATGCAATGAAAACCAAATAAATAATTGTAGTTCAACTATCATTGCCATATCTTTCTTTGATAGTGCTGTTCCATGTGCTGCTTCATCTGTTTATACTTGGCTGAGTAATTAAGAGTCTCTCTTCACTTGGGTCAATGCTATTAAGGGAAAGATGCTGAAATCCATTAACCTTATTTAAAATTTAATTGCCTCCTAGCCATTATTTGAACACATTTCTTCCCAGAAGCAATTAATTATAGTTTCATCCCTTCATTTTTAAGTATTTACATTATTACTTTCTTTTTTTAATGCTATAATAAGAAAATGGCAGGTATATAAAAAAAGGTAATTTCCTAGCCCGTTGCAATGAGTTAAATGTTTTAAATAATTCTGGTTCAGTATGGATAGAAATAAAAATACATCTACTTCTTTCATCTTGTAGTTAAGAAGCAAATCTTTCTGAAATTTTCAGAAAGAGGTCAGAATTCATATCCCTTCTGTATTGTGGAAACATGCCTTTATACAGGAATTGCTGGGAGTGCTGGACAGGTTGTAGTAGAAAGCCCTCTCCTCTTAATTTTCCTCTTTCTAATTAATAAGCATGTTTCTCCTTCTTTTTAGCATATATCCAATCTTTTAAATTTCAACTCCATTTTTGTAAGCTCTTCTTCAGTGGTGGTATTCAAAAAAAATTATTACCGGTTCTGTGGGCGAGGCTTGGCAGGCGTGGCTTGGTGGGTGTGCCTTGGTGGGCATGGCAGTGGAAGGATACTGTATAATCTCATTCCCTCCCCACCCCACTAACCTGCTTTCCAGCTCTGTTCTCCTGTGCAGGGCAACAAAAGAAGACCCAGCTGGTCAGTTGTGATTCGGGAGGCAGAGAATAGATGGGTCGGGGCCAGTCAGAGGCGGTATTTTCTGGTTCTCCAAACTACTCAAAATTTCTGCTACTGGTTCTCCAGAACTGGTCAGAACCTGCTGAATACCACCTCTTGTTCTGACCCAAACCTTGTTCCAAGGAAACAAACACGAAACAGAGGTAACAGCAAAACTTTTTAATGATTCTTTATGAATTCTGTTCCTTCACGGTTAAAAGGCTGTTTCAAACTAATTGTCTCTGATAAGAACGAGCCTTATCAAGGTTCTGCAAGGCTGCCAAGAATACTAGATAAAATTACTAAGAAATATTTCCAACACCTTGCGCAGGGGCCATGCTAATCTTCTCTGTATCGTTCCAATTTTAGTATATGTGCTGCCGAAGCGAGTAATGGGTAATTTAAGCATAGATATCGATAAGATGTGCGTATTCAAATTAAGTTAGGAGAATTGGATCTTGCAGACTATCAAAAAGGATATTGTCTGTTTTTAAATGTATTCTTTACATTTCTTTTTCTCTTTCTTTGTTTCTTTCTTTCTTTTATATCTCTCCTTCTCTTCTCTTTCCGGTTCGTAAGGCCGAGTGTTTTTTTTTCCTTTTTTGTGTATGTAATGTCGATATGTTTTTAATTGTAAATTTAATAAAAAAATTTTTTTTTTAAAAAAAGAAATATTTCCAACACCAAGAGTCTCCAAACACCAACCAAGATACTCCGAACGTCCACAAGGCTTGAGTGCAAAACCTTTTTTTCTTCCTGCAAAGAACTCCAGTTTCCCACCTGGCTTTTATCTCTTAAGAGGGGTGCCATTACCTTGCAGCCTTACTCACGAGTCACCCATGCTGCTGCAGCTGCTCTTTCCTTTGAGCAACCCTGCGTGCACACGCGCCGGGCACAGGCTCATTGGGGACCTCTTCATCACTGCTGCCATCCTCCACAATCTTTGAAGGCAGCATTCCACTCCCTGATGGTCCTGGCCCCATCCCTGCATCACACGCAGGGCCCTCATCTGAGTCCTCCCTCTCTGAGACCTCAGCCATCTGCACCTGCTGCCGGCGAACCACAACACCTCTGCTCTTCTTCCTTATTCAATTCTAATTGTTCTAAATATACCTGGACTTCAATTACCAGCTTTGTTAGAAGGTTGGAAGGTTCCTTTGTGGTGACTGGTTTATTGAGACCTACAGGAAACTTTGGTTAGATGCCTCTATTTAAGGTACAATAATCTTGGAATTTGATATGTTGTCCCTTGAGATTTCCCACTCTTCAGCCTAGAGAAATGCTCTGCACCCTGACATTATCCAAGCTCTCCTGAAGGTGAAAATAAAAATAATTCTTTCTATAAAAGTCTTCTTATTTTTTTCTGCTGAAAAGAATTTAGAAAACAAGAAGATAAAGAAATTAAAATGTAACTGACTACCTGTTTCAGTTGAGATACTTACTTGTCTATGTCAGGTTCAAAACAACAATGTCAATAAAGTTGAAAGAAGAAGGAAAAGAGAGAAAACTACTCAGGGTTGTCTTCTAGTGGCCACTTAACCCTACTTATTTATTTATTTTTATTTGATTTATTTGATTTGCCAATTGTTTACAAGATAATAAGTATAAGTGTATACATAGTTGTGAATACATGAAATGGGTACATATAAGAAAAATAAAAGAAGAATAAGAGAAACAATAAGACAGGGACGGTAGGCACTTCTATTTATATGTTTAAATGTAAGGGGTAAAAAGTTGGAAGACTCTTATAAAAGTAGCTGCAGTTCTCTCCTGAACAAAGAAGTCAATTTAGCCATTTCTATAAATCCAGAGATCTTCAGGATCCATCCATCCATTATTGCAGAGATGGTCTTCAGGAGGTTCTGACTAGTTCTGGAGAACCGGTAGCGGAAATTTTGAGTAGTTCGGAGAACCGGCAAATACCACCTCTGACTGGCCCCACCCCATCTATTCCCTGCCTCCCGAGTCCCAGCTGATCAGCTGGGTCTTCTTTTGTTGCCCTGCACAGGAGAACGGAGCTGGAAAGCAGGTTAGTGGAGTGGGGAGGTAATGGAGATTTTACAGTATCCTTCCCCTGCCACGCCTACCAATCCACACCACACCCACCAAGCCATGCCCACAGAAACAATAGTAAAATTTTTTGAATCCCACCACTGCATTATTGGTATTTCAGTAGTCTTCCATCTTTGTACATAACTCACTACCTTGTTACCACATATAAAACTGAATGTCCATGAGCCTTTTCTACTTCATTCATAAGTCTTTATAAGAAAAGTTCCAGTTTCATCTGAACGTCAATTTTTAACTTTTTTCTGCTTCACTATGTGTATTTCTTTCCAATATCTTCTTCCTTTTTCAAAAATCCATCATGCATGATAAAATGTCCCTTCATGTATTTCATATTCCCAGCAGTGATTAGAAGTACCTTCATACATCTTAAATATTCTTCATATCCTACAGCCTTTTAGAAAGAAACTTTAGAAACATTATTTCCCACTGAATTTAAGAATGAAGTGATCAAAATAGTTCTAGTGACATCATGAGTCTTAGCCAATACAAGATTTCCTCTTAACACATATTATTCTTGTCAGAATTATATTTTTTGTTAATTTTCATCAACAACACCATATCTTATAAACTGTTCTAAATATAACATTTCTCTCTATGTGTGTATGTGTGTGTTTGTATGTAATCTCCATTCATGCATGCACTTTATGTTAAAATGCACTTAAAATCAAATCTAATATGGATTTCAGGTCCTGGAGTTAATGATGGAAAAATGAGTAGTAATTTATCATCCAAGGCTTTTATGTACATTCCTAAGTCATTCACAACTGAAATCCTATTATAGGAATGCACACATTCACAATAAATAATGCACTTTAATCAACATACTATTAAGATAAAATATAAGATTATAATTGGATCTCATCCATTTTGCACTCATCTGAATTGAATTAGTGGATTTAAATTATGTTTCATGTTTGCAATAGAGGTAAATATCTCTAGCTTGGATGTAGGATGAGGATGAAGGTTCGTTCTCCAAGCTTATGGGTTGGTTTTTAAACCATTTTGTTACCAGGCTAGATAACATCTTCAGTGGTGTTTAGGGGATGTCAGTGTCAGTATTTTATAAGGGTTTATAAGGGTTTCATGTGTGGGTGTATCAGGTTAGAGTCTTGTTTTGGGTCTTGTGATGGGGAGATTACTTCAGGTGAAGGTCATTGGAAGGTGAACTGCTGGTGGGGGGGCTTGTGTGGGTTGGTTGAGGGTCGGTTCTGTCTCTGGTTGGCTGTGAGTTTGATTTGGATTCTGAGGGGTTTGTAGGCTGGTTGTAGGTCAATGTGTCTGTTGATGGAATAGCTTGTGGAGTGCCATGCTTCAATGAACTCACAAGCATGGCGAGTGGTAGCATGGCCAATGCTTTTTACCTTTTTAATGCTTTTTAATGCTTTGCTTGCTTTTTAATGCTTTTTATGTTGCTTCAATCAAAATGGTGCTGTTTGGTGTCAGTGTGGGCAGAGATTAAGGATTTGTTATTACACACATAATATAATTATAACACTCATGCCTTAGCTTCTCCTTTAAGTTTATTAAAATTTGTTCTTTAATGCATCTGGAAGCCAAGTCATGGCAACTGGACTTCTATTCTTTTTTATTTGAAATGTTTTGCTGCTTATCCAAGTAATTTTTTCAGAGACTGAAGAAGCTACTTGGATAAACAGCAAAATGTTTCAAATCAAAAGGAAAACAAGTCCAGTTGCTAAGACTCAGCTTCCAGACAATTCTACCCAGATTAATGAGAATCTTCATTGACATATTCTGATAATATCTTTATATCATTAACTATATTTAGTTTTCCTATGAATCTAGAATCCCAACATCGAGCAGTGATTTCTCTCAATAGTCTTGCTTCTTTCACTTATTCACTTAAGATTTTCTTTCCCTTGATATGTGTTACCAAACTGAGGAAAAATAATTAATATAGAATCTAATCATATTAGTTACATCTACATTTCATTAAATGTGTATAAATCAATTTTCATTTTTTGTCCTGCCCATATCTCTCTCTCAAAGGACAAGTGAAGCTTTCAAACACATTCATGGAATATGATCTATGTTAAAAATAATATTAGGAAGGTTATATCTGCCATTTCCTTGCTGATTATGTTTGTTTTTCAGTGTGAAAGATTATATACACAGAAGTCTGTAAGAAGTCTGATGTCATTGGGAATACCATCTCAGTACCAAAGTAATAAGGCAATTTCTATTGCATCTTTTTAAACCTTCCACTGCTATCTATGAAAGACTATACAGAAAAAACTATCTAGATATTTTTCAAACTCCCAGGGCTAACATACTAAGTGACAATAAAGTTGACATATTTAGCTAATCTTGCAAAACAAACTGAGCCGTTATATATTAAGGACTTTAAGCAGACACTAAACACAGTTCCATGCATTTTGCAAAGACTTTAGTTAGATCATCTTCAATGTTGTATCAACTTATTTTAAAAATGTACATTTTTATCACCCTAAACTCTCTATAAAATGTTTTTCAAATAGCTCTTATTTGTTACATATTTTCTGAGTATAAGGGCTATGCTCTCTCTATTTCCCAAACATATGTAATATTAATTTGTGCAATGAGGACCAAAGCAATTGTAAAATTCAAGCAAAGATTACATCATCTGATGTAACCAACTGGAATTTGACTCAGCCTTTCAGAGGTCAGACATAAACTGTTGAAATGATAGTGGAAGTAAATACTGAGTCAAATTTTGGGCATGGTGGACCCAGAAGCGAAGCTGACTACAGCAGTTCCTCTGGTTGTCATAGATATTATACTCTGTCACCTAGCACTTTTACAAGAATTTGGCAGTTTCTGAGGCACAATTCTCATTACCACTTTTCCCATTTTCACTTATTTCTGCATCCTGCACACACAACACACACCCTCTTTATCTCTGCATTTCTCTGTTTGTCTCTGTGTGTGTTTCTCCCCATCCTCTATCCCTACCAAACACAAAACTAAAACTTTGGCAAAATACATGGATTAAAAAGCAACAACTAAAATGAAAACAATAAACAAAAAATGAACACATAATACACGCAAGAGCAACACAATCAATCTATTTGTCTTTACAGAATAACACTCTGAAGGGAAAAGTATTTTGGAAGGCATATGCTGCGACAGAGAAGTGCATTGTTTCATACAGGGAACTCAAAGCATGTGTACATTATTGAATCTTGTGAGATGTGCAGAGATTAATCTTTACATGGTATTTTAATATTTAGTTTTGGTGCCTTAAATAAAAATATTGATCCAACTATTATTTCAAATACTTCAGGTGAGGGCTTGTTGCCCATTTTAACAATGGTCTGTACTTAAAT